GAGGAGGCCTCGCGTGTGACGCGCGTGGAGCCGCCGGGGCCGCCATGACTCAGCGCGGGCCGACGTCGGGCGACAACGGCGACCAGTGCCGCGGTTATCGTCGGACGACGCTGCTTACATCGACCCATGGGAAGCGACTGAGATGAGAGACTTGACTTGCCACTGCAGACAAAGCCTTTTGAGATGATGGCGTTCACAGCCTTGGTGCTGTCACGGTGACAGCAGAAGTGCAGAGCAGATATTTGGGTCCAGCATCCAGCAACTTCAAGATCGTGCTGAAATCAATTTCGTGTGGCTGGCAAACCCAAACACGTGCTCCAGAAATATCTTTAAGTACGCGGCAACCCTAAACACGAGGTCTGTGCATAGTTGTTGCGGGAATTTCGGTCGTCCCCCAATACTGTGAACGAGAAGCATAACGATGGTGGCTAGTATGTAGCGTACGAGAGTCGTGTGGAAAATGGTAAGTGGATGAGCAGCAAGTGTTGTTTCTGCTGCAGTGCGTGTGACGCAGCAAGAGCTCCTCCTTCAAGGGTAAGTTCGCAACTTTGCGTGACTCTCGGCAGCCAACATGACCGTCAAGTCATGATGATGATGGCAGCAGGCTCATTGTGCACTCCAGCTCGACACCTCTTTCTTTCGTTTTGCCTGTTCTTTCCCATGCGGCTGCGGTAATTGTCTCTGTTCCTTCCATCCAAGTAAGGGCGCTTCACCAGTCGGTTCGAACAACACACTCGTTCGAACAGGCGAAACGTTACTCGTTTCGCCTATGTTCGTAGTGGTGATCGTGACGTCGCGAAGCACAATTTCGCCAATTTGAACAGAGCTGTCACCTCAAGCACGATTTTCATCGTCCCGCACGTTCGAACACGTTTGTTCGAACAGGTTGGGATAGGTGACACACAATTCCGCACAAAGGACTGATAGGATTGGTCCACAGTCTTCCGGGTCGCCCATGAACGTTTGCGACCCGGCCAGACGTCGCCATGAACGAGAATGTGCTCGCACGTTCAGCACGAATCGCATGCCTCTTGCCCAAAGGCCAATTCGTGTCGCCAATTCAACCCACCAATACAAATGGAGCCCACTCAATGGCAGACGTCTGAATTATTTTCTTGCGACGTTTTGCGAAGCCGTCCAACACTTGGCGACGTCGCATGTTCGAACAGGCTGTCACCTCTAGTCACGAGCTGTCACATTCACCAGGGTGTTCAAATTTGTGTTCGGATCTCGTCGGGAAACTGTTCGTACAGTGAATTCGTTATGTATGTTCGGATTTGGGCCTTCCAGCCCCAAGGTGATGCGCCCTAACCACTCACTTCTTTCCTGCTCTGCTTCAAACCGCACGAGCGAACAAACGACCAAGAAAGCAAGAAGTGGGGCGTGGCATCTTGAAATTCGAACAGGGCCCTTTGTTCGGGCTGAAAAATTTGTTATGAGTTGTAAAAGAGAGTGCGCATGTAAACGAATATCACTGTGACTGAATCAACTGAGAATACAATGAAGGCACAGACTAATGTAGGGCTAGCCTAGCTAGGAGGAAACCTCGGACAAGCGAGGTTGGGTGTGGGTTTGGCGATGGGAATGCCGAAGGCTACGCGTGGAGCCTCGGCAGCGTGGAAATCGCCCGAACGTGCGAACTCCGAAAATCGGGTTGTACGCGCAGCAATCAACCCCGATAAGGAAATTCCTTACACCACCCCCCCCCCCCCCCCCCCCCCCCCCCCCCCCCCCCCCCCCCCCCCCCCCCCCCCCCCCCCCCCCCCCCCCCCCTTAAGAAAGGCGGTCAATATCCGAAACACGCTTGCGCGCCAAGTAATCACCAACAAGTGGCGAGGCGTCGAGCGAGGCGGATGGCACCCACGTGTCGTCCTCACTGGTGCGATCAGTTCAGTGGATTAGAAAATCCACGTGTCGGCCGGCTGCGTCAAGTCGAACTCGATGGGCAGGAATTTTCAACGGGTCGAGTGTCGGCTCTGGGACAGGTCGAGCTGTCGGGGCAGCCTGCTGACGTGCGATGTCGGTCGTGGCTGGCACGAACTTGCGAAGCAGGCTGACGTGGAAGGCGTCATGAATTCGCCAGTCGTCCGGTAGCAACAGCTTCGCGGTGACAGGTGTCACTATCTTGATAATCTTGAATGGTCCGCAAAATTGGGGCCGTAGTTTTGACGGGCCGGGCAGATGCAGGTTCTTTGTGTCGAGGAGCACGAATTGCCCGGTTGTCAAGACGAGTTCCCGGCGTAGAAGGTCGGTGTACTTGCGGGAAGTAATATTCGCCTTGCGAATTGCGTCTGCTGCTTTCTCGCGAATGTGCTGAAGTTCCGTCACAAAAGTTTGTGACCGTGGGACCGGGTTGTCGAGCGAAGTTGCCGTGGGCACCGTCGGATCCATCCCGTAATTCAAGAAGAACGGGGAGTGATTAGTCGTGCTTGATGGTGCGTTGTTGAAGGCAAACTCCAACATGGCGAGGGAATCTTCCCATCGTGCGGGGTCAGGGCAGTTTGTCCGTATCAGCTGCTCCATCGTCGGGTTGGTTCGCTCGGTTTGTCCGTCCGTCTGTGGGTAGTAAGCCAATGAGAACTGTAGCTTCGTGCCGTACTGCGCCCATGTCTCCTTCCAAAACTTGGATGTAAACTTCGGGTCCCGGTCGGTGATGATCGCCGAAGGGATGCCGTGTAGTCGCACGACCGTTGAGATGAAGAGGCGCGCAGTTTCTTCGGCTGTGATCGTCGTTCGGCATGGTGCGAAGTGTGCCATCTTCGTGAAGCGATCGACGACGACGAGAACAGCGTCGTTGCCGGACGGTTCAGCTGGCATCCCCGTGACGAAATCCATCGTCACCTGTTGCCACGGTCGTTCGGGTGGCTCGAGGGGTTGCAGCAGCCCAGCTGGTCGCTGACGTGTCGATTTCATGGCTTGGCACACCCTGCATGAGGACACATAACGCTGCACGTCGTTAGAAGAATCGGGCCAGTAATATTGACGGTGCAGTAATTTCTGAGTTTTATCAACCCCGAAGTGTCCGGAGTAATTCGAGTCGTGGGCCTCCTGGATGAGGAGTTGACGCAGCAGCCGGTAAGCGGGGACCCAAATCCTGTCGGTTCCGGCTTTTAAGTAATAGTCCCCCTTCTGCGTCGTGGCCTGCTGATGACTGCCTGTCGTGAAGAACGGGTCCGTAGTGTAGCCGTGGGCGAATAGACCTGTAATTAGCGGGTTCGAATGGGTTATCAGTACAGCAGCGGATTGTACGGTCAGTCTAGTCAGTGCGTCGGCGATGTTATTCGCCCCCTTCTTGTACGTGATGCGGTAGGTGAAGTGGCTCTCCATGTAATCCAGCCACCGAATTTGTCGCGGGTTGAGGTTCGGTTGAGCTCGCGGGTACCGTAGGGACTTGTGGTCCGTGGGCACAGTGACGTCGGCCCACCAGGTAGCATCGCCAAAGTTTAAACGCGTGGATGATGGCGAGCATTTCCTTGTCGTGGATCGGGTAGTTGCGCTCGGCAGCTTGCAGCTTGCGTGATTCGTAGGCGATCGGCTGCAACCCGTTTCCGAAATCCTGGAGGAGTACTGCTCCGATGGCGAAATCAGAGGCGTCGGTGACGACTTCGAACGGCTTCGATGGGTCGGCGATGCGCAGCACAGGAGGGGAAACGAGAAAATTCTTGAGCTCCTCGAAAGCCTGTGAGAGCGGTCAGGTGCGAGATGGCATCTGGAATGGAGTCATTTAGCGCGTTGGATTGCAAATCACTGCCTTCCGACAGCACAAGATGGGGAGACGGACAGAGGGAGAGAGGGAGAGAGGGAGAGGCATGGTCCGCAAGAGAGAGGGGGTAGGGAATCGCAGAGGGAAATCCGAAACCGGAGAACGACTGAGAATTGAAGAGAGCTATTGGGTGCAGGCAGAAGTGAGGATGCAGAAGAGTGGGGCGGAGATAGTCAACCCCCAATACACATGTGCACCGCATTGCACCGCAATGAACTATCAGATATCTGAATGCACTTTTGATTTGAACATTCCTCCTTTCCCTCGCTCCCGCCCTTCCCTCCCTCTCTCCCTCCCACCCCCCTCCCTCCCTCCTTCCCCCCCTCCACGTGTCCCCCTGCCTCTCACAGGTGGGCGAGCAAGGCGAGCGCGCTGAAGGATTCAGGAATGGAGCCTTCCAGGGAGTTGAAACACAGGCTTCTGCGCGCATGGCAGCACAACATGCACAAGTATGAGCGCCACGGATGGGAATTGGGGAGCACCGGGGGGGGGGGGGGCTCGGGTTGGGTGGGGTGGATAAGGCTGATGAGGCGCCTGGAAAGGATAAGGGCGTTGCACCACAGGTTGCAGCAAAGGTTGCAGCACAGGTTGCAGCACAGGTTGCAGCACAGGTTGCAGCACAGGTTGCAGCACAGGTTGGCTCACAGGTTACCGCACGGGTTAAATTGCACCACAGCACCAAGAGGCTGAGACGCTACGAATAAGGAGGAGACGATGAGGAGTGCCCCATACAGAGATATGACAGGGGCATGCAGAGTGGCGCGACAGGCGTACAGAGAGGTGAGAGGTGAGAGGTGAGAGGTGTACAGATTTGTGAGGGAGGTGAGAGTGCCAAGAGACGGTGGGATGGATCCATGTAGACCTGCGCTATTCAGCGACCTGTTGCATTGTGTTGAGGGTACACATATACATGTGCATGCACACAAGCAAACATGAGCGCGCATGCACGCACACACGCACACACGCACCCACGCCGCATGCACGCACACATGCACACACACATGCACACACAGACACAGTCACAGACACATACATACACACACACACACACACACACACACACACACACACACACACATGCAGGGAGGCAGTAAACGAATGAAGCACAGTCACAGCACGCTGACAGCATGTCAATGGCTTCTCTGGCCCACTGTACCGTCTCTCCCGCCCCATCCTCCATTGCCGCTACAACCACCATGTTGTCCCCACATTCCCTCGCCATACCCCTCCTCCCTGCCTACATGGTAGTGACAAGCCCGTTGGCATCGCAGGCAATGAACTGCGCCGTGTCGCACTCGCCCCCCACCTGCCACCCGCTCGCCGACAATCCCCATGCTGTGCCGCACTCCTCCAGCACCAGCGCTGCCAGGGGCTCGTGGGGAGGGGGACGCGGCATGGGAGAGGGTGGGGGTTGCGTTGGCTGCTGAACGAGCAGCCATGTTACAGGGCGTAGCAGCGAGGAAGCATAGCAGCGAGGGAGCATGGCAGCGAGGGAGCATGGCAGCGAGGGAGCATGGCAGCGAGGGAGCATGGCAGCGAGGGAGCATGGCAGCGAGGGAGCATGGCAGCGAGGGAGCATGGCAGCGAGGGTGCATGGCAGCGAGGGAGCATGGCAGCGAGGGAGCATGGCAGCGAGGGAGCATGGCAGCGAGGGAGCATGGCAGCGAGGGAGCATGGCAGCGAGGGAGCATGGCAGCGAGGGAGCATAGCCATGAGGGCTTAACTTGGACTAGTTGACGTTTATCAGGGAGGTAGGAGGGCAGGAAGAGGTGAGGGAGAGAGCAGCTGGGGGGGTTGGGGAGAGGTAGAGCAAGACGGACAGAGGGAGAAGAATGGAGTTGAAGAAAGAGGAGGTAGATCATTTGCAAGGAGGAGGCTGTGGATGGAAGACAGTGGGATGGGAAAGAGGGGGCGAGAGAGGAGGGGAGTGGGAGAATGAACATGTGAGACGGAGAGGAGAGGAGTCTGGTAGAGTGGGGGAGAGTGAGAGAGAGTGGGAGGCGAGGAGAGGTGCAGGTAGGGGGAGGAGGAGCGACCTACCTTGGGCGTCGTTGATGCGAGTGGCAGCAGCAGGGCACGGCGGCAGCAGAAGCAGCCCCGCCAGCAGCAGCAGCGGCAGGCGGAGGTGCAGCAGCGGCGGAGGCAAGCAGAAGGAGAAGCTGCGCCGGTCGCGGTCGCCCATGCCTCTCCGGACGGAAAGAACGGAAGGCAGGCAAGACGTGAGAAGCTGAGTGCAGTGGAGCAGTGGTGAGGGTGAAGGACTCGTGCAGACGGCTGCTGATGCAGCGGCAGTGGAGTCACGGCTCCGCTTCTAACAATCCTGAGGAGAATTCTCGAAGCTACTATCGCGGCGGCTTTGCTCGGGCCGCCTGGGAAAGGCTGAGCCTGCGTTTTCAAGATTTGCACCCGCAGTAAGAAACGTCACTGTGCGAAACGCCTTGGCGGACACAGAATCAACACGACTGTGAAATGAGTAAGCAGGAATGAAATGACTAAGGAAAGATTGGGTACAAATACAACCCTAGAAACCCTGTACCCCATATGTGCTACCCCACTATAGCCTACAGCAACTATGTCATATAAATCTGACACACCCCCATAGGCAAAGTGGGGGAGAACAAGGGGTCACAAGACCAGTCAAGCAAAGCAAAGCAAGCTCAGGGTGGATCACAAAGTCACCACACAGTCCGAGCACAAGAGTAGGGCCAGAGGCCAGTTCACATGCAGGAGTACAGACATATATATAAAACTAGACAAACAAGAGTAGGCATATATATATGTCACAGTACAAGTGAAGTCAAGAGGAGAGCAAGTGAGGCAAGACAGGCACAAGACCCAACTGGGTGCAAAAGCGCTGATGGTCACAAGGCGCGAGTGCCTTGGTGAACACATCAGCAGTGTTGGCCTCAGAGGCCACGTACGCAAGTCGCAACTGACCACGCTGCTGCAGCTCACGAGCAAGGAAGTAGCGGAGAGCAATGTGCTTCGTTCTGTGCTCCAAGCGCTGCTCTCGACACAAGGCCAGCATAGCCTTGTTGTCTACGTACAGCACTGGAGGAGAACGAGGCGGCTCTCCAAGGTCAGTCAGCAGGTAGGTGAGCCAGCGAAGCTCCTGTGCAGCCATGGCCCCGGCGTAGATCTCAGCCTCACAACTGGAGCCGAGAACCGAAGACGAGCGAGTAGCCCGCCACGAGACAGAGCCGGAACCAAGGCTGAAGGTGTAACCCTGTGACGACCGCTGCGTAGCCTGGTCGTCAGCCCAAGAAGCGTCCGCGTGGCCGGTAAGGACCACTGGACTCCGCCCTCCAAGCACTAGCCCCATGCCCGACGTACTGCACAGGTAGCGCAATACCCTCTTCGCTGCAGCCATGTGCTCCGGTCTGTGTCTCCCAGGAGCAACATAGCGTGCAAGAATGCTCAGAGGGTATGCAAGGTCAGGTCGTGTGCAGGTCATCAGGTACATGAGGCAGCCAACAAGCTCTGCATACGGACCACTCGACTCTACGGACTCATCCGAAGGCAGAGCTGAGAGTGAGTGGCGAGTAGGCAGAGGAGTGGCCTGAGGCGAGGAGTACGTGAAGCCGAAGCGCTGAAGGACCTACTGCACCATGTGTGACTGAGTCAAGGTAATGGTGCGGCGTGCTCTGTCCCGAGTGATCTGCAAGCCAAGGTAGCTGCGCAGTTCACCCAGGTCTGTGCACGTGTGTCTCTTCAGCAGCTCGGACTTCACGTAGGCGAGTCCAGCAGTGTCTGCTGTGGCAAAGACCAAGTCGTCGACGTACACGAGGATGTAGAACGGCGGCAGGGAAGTGTCGGTGCGAAGAAACAGCGACGGGTCAGCAGTAGAAGGAGCAAACCCAAGAGCCGCAAGCGTAGTCCTCAGTGTGTCGTGCCACTCACGCGGTGCCTGGCGGAGACCGTAGACTGGCCGTCGGAGGCTCCACTGGGTGCCAGGAGGGAAAGTCCCAGTGAAGCCAGGTGGACGGCGAAGCCAGATCTCCTCGTGCAGGCTACCCTGCAAGAACGCAGTGCTGAAGTCGAGAGAGTGAAGCTCGTAGTCGCGCTGAGCGGCTATGTGCAGCAGCACCCGAAGAGTAGTCATCTTTGGGGTGGGAGAGAAGGTCTGAAAGTAGTCAACTCCCTGCCGCTGACTGAAGCCACGAGCAACGTACCGTGCCTTGAAGACAGGTGGAGAGCCCAGCGGCCGCTTCACCCTGAAGATCCACATGCCACTGACGATGTTCGCCCCAGGAGGGGGAACCGCGTCAACGTAGGTGCCTGTGGACTTCCAGGAAGCCATCTCTGCATCCATAGCTGCCTGCCACTGAGAGGAGTAGGGACCCTCTACGGCCTCCGCGTAAGAACGCGGAGTCGGGATGTCTAGTGCATCCGGGTCTCCCTCAGGGGCAAGCAGTACAGACGCGAGATGAGGTGAAGCAGCCGCTAGACACTGTAACTCCTCCTGCCTGTCCTCTAGGACGTCCGTGCTAAGAGCACACTCACCCCCGACGGACGGAGGACAGACAGACGCAGACTCAGCAACAAGACTAGCAGCGTAGTCGAGACGACAGCGAGCAGCAAAGTCGACGAGCTCAGCGACTAGAGCAGACGCAGCAGTGGACTCAAAAGAGGGGTCAGTGATGACAGTAGCAAGAAGACGCGTGACAGTAGGACTGGCAGCACGAAGAGAGTCCGACTCAGGGTCGGCAAGCGCAGGAAGAGAGGACTCAGGAGGAGAAGGCAAAGGGGCACGCAGAGGAGCAGTGGACGGACGCAAAGACATCCGGTGCGTGCCAGGGACAGGAGGAGGACGCTGACGCGAACTGCGACCACTAGCGCGAGCAGCACGAACAGGCGACGCGGGACGAGACGCAGGCTCACGACGCTCAGCAAGACCTCCAGTAGGACCAGTGTAAGGAGAGGGAGCAGGCAGTGGAGAGGAAGGCTCCAGCAGGGACTGCGACTGGACAGGCGGTGGACCCTCTACCGGAGGAGAAAGACCAAGAACCTGCTGCAAGAGCGGAACGAAGTACGGCCGAGGCCGCGCGGCAGCTCCAGACGCAGCAGGGTCTGCACCAGCACCCTCAGCGACAGCACCAGCGCCACCCACACCTCCAGTGGCAGGACCAACAGCAGTAGGCTCAGCACCAGCTCCCTCAGCAGCTCCAGCTCCAGGAGGACCCGCAGGTCCAGCAGCTCTGGGACCGGCAGCACCCGCACCCACGACGGTCGAAGAAGCTCCAGCTCCAGCTCCAGCAGCACCTCCAGACTCAGCGGCACGCCTCCAGCGGCGAGCGAACCACTCGCGCAGCTCCTGTGGAGAGAGGGGCTCCCGGCGAGACGCAGCAGCAGGAGAAACCCCAGGCTCAGCAGCTCCAGACGCAGCACCCCCAGGCTCAGCAGCTCCCAGCTCAGCACCTCCAGGCTCAGTAGCTCCCGACCCAGCACCCCCAGACCCCGCACCCCCAGGCACAGCACCCCCCGGCTCAGCACCCCCAGGCTCCGCACCCTCCGCAGTAGCACCCTCAGGCCCAGCACCCCCAGCAGTAGCACCCCCAGGCTCAGCACCCCCGCGCACAGCACCCCCAGAGTCAGCACCCCCAGGCTCAGCACCCGCAGCAGCACCAGAGTCACCAGTAACCTCGACCGGGTCAACGGCGTCTACCTGGGACACACCTGAGGGGGCTGGAACCTGAGGGGGGAGGGGGTCTACCGGGGGGGGAACCGGCACAAGGAAGTCCGGGGGAGGGGGGAGGGAAGGAGTGCGGTAGGGGAAGAGACGGTAGAAGGGGACTGACTCGTCGAACGTGACGTCCTGGGAGGACAGAACACGACGAGAGGAGGGGTGGTAAAACTGCCACCCTGGGGCGTCAGTGGGGAAGCCAAGGAAGACAAAGGGAGCAGCACGAGGGGACAGCTTGTCCGCAGACAAGTCGCGGACAAACGCCCGAGATCCCCAGACACGGAACACAGACGCATCGCCAACCTTCCCCGTCCACAGCAAGGCTGGGAACATCGCAGGCCGAGAGACCCGGGGGTGAAGGTTGAGCTGATGCGCCGCGTACCTCACTGCAAACGGCCACAGAAAATGGGGGGCAGCCGCATGCATCATGGACGTACGAGCGACATCCATGACCATGCCAATGCGGCGCTCAGCAATCCCATTTTGCTGTGGTGAGTCCGGAAGCGTGAAGGTCTGGCGGATCCCCCGTGCACGACAGTAGTCCCGCAGAAGGCGAGAAGAGAACTCTCCGCCTCTGTCCGAGTGCAGACGCAGAACAGGAAAGTCCGAGCCGAAGCTCTTCCTGAGCTGGAGACGAGCCTCGCGGATCCAGTCAATCAGCACCTCAGTGACCGCACCCTTGCTGCGCAAGGGGAGGACTGTGGTGTAACGCGAGTAGTCGTCAACCACCAACAGGAAGTAGCGCTCGTAACCCTGCCCACGGATGGGGGCTGGGCCCCACACATCCATGTGAAGCGTCTGCAGGGGAGCCTCTGTCGGGGGGAAGTGGGAGGAGTGAGGAGTAGCCCGGAGGCGACCCTCGACACAGGGGACACAGGAAGGTCCTGGCCCGGAGGGGAGAGGAGGGAGAGACTGGGGAAGACCAGAGACAAGGACACGGGAAGCCATGCTCCGAAGACGGGGCAAGGAGGGGTGGCCAAGACGGTGGTGCCACAGGAGAGTCTCGTGAGACAGGAGGCGACAAGAACAGGGGGCAGACTCAGGACCTGACCGGGACGCAGCAGCAAGCACCTGACCCGACGCAGCCACCTGACCAGACGCAGGGACAGGAGGAGACTCAACGGTCAGGGTGTAGAGACTCGACCCCGGCCGACGCGAGAACGTGGCCAGGTGTCGGCCTGTGCGTGCCTCCGTGCAGTGGGTCACCCGCTGACTCGCAGGAGTGAACTGGTGAACCCCCACATCCTGCAGGTCCGCTCC